AAATATTATTTAATGTAAAATATCTATAAAGGTTCTCTCGTCGACAGATAACGAAAACATAACGATGCGCGATGTAGCGAAATAAATCAGTTATGGAGAGTATTGGAATAAAGAGGGAATTGTAACTGATGCTAAGTTGTATTTACTGTTTTTTAAGGTTACCTTCGCTGAACCGTAACCATATTCGAAATAATTTGGAGTTATTTGAAATTTGGGTCTATATAGTGTTACTTTATTGGTAAATTCAAAAAACTATGGAATATGTTACGATTGTACAGTGTTCGGCAAAGAAATCAGCAGACGGGGAATACGTTCAAATTTAGTTGGCTCGTATGAATAAAAATGAGCAAAACCTTCTACTTGCAAAACTTGAATAAAAATGTAAGTAAAAGGTTTTGCTCATACTTGTATTAGATGAAGCATGAGCATCTACTCACGTTTACGTATTTGCTCAACTTGTTATGAATAAAATGTATTGCTTTGCTTACTTAGTTGAGCATATGCTCCAAAATTTTTGCAGCTCGTTAGTACGAGATGCACCTTGCAATAAGCTGGTCATAAAATAGCAGAATTCGTGAATTTACGTCCACAGAAGCAATACAAAGTGTGAAGGGAAGCTAATTGGTGAGATTTTAAATCTCTTTATAGATTTCAAGAAGAAAATGTAAATTGGATGGCAACGTACTTTTTGGGAGAAAATCTTAAAAGAAGAGGAGGCGCTCTTTCTTCAAATGATAAAATGAAGGTTTTCTTGCGATATTTGGCCAATCCTGGATTTCAGATGGGTGTAACAGAAGAATTGGGAATCGCTCAATCGATTGTTTCAAAAACAATTTTATTTGTAATGAACAAAATAGTTGAAAAGTCCATTTATGGATCAAATTTCCGTCAAGCCAACCCAAAATAAACGAAGCACAGCAAACGTGGCAAGAAAAATTTCAGTTTCCAAGTGCTATTGAAGTGACTGATTGCATGCAAGTTCAGATTTTGAAACCGAATCCACACGGTGATGAATACGTCAATAGAAAGGGATTGACTACTTTAAATGTGCAGGAAACATGTCACCCAGTGGAAATGTTTACTAGTGCTGATGTTAGTTGGCCGGGTTCTGTACACGACGCAAGAATTTGGAGGAAGTGCGATATACGTGTAACTATGCAATAGTTTCCTGGTGCAGTACTACTGGGTGATTATGTTTATGGCTTAGAACCGTGGCTAATGACTCCGTTTAGAAACCCTAATAACGCATTGGAAAGAGCTTACAACAGACTGTTTAAGAAAGGAAGGGTTATAATTGAAAGGTGTTTTGGCCAACTTAAGCGCAGGTTTCCAGTTTTGAAATATATGTATGTGCCGAGTTAAATTAGAAAAAGTTCCATCCGTCATTATTTGTTGTATCGTGCTTTACAATATTACCAAATACTTGAGAGATGCTGCTTTTGAATATAATGCAGAACCAGACGACAATTATCATAACGGTGGTGACTACGAAGTAGAAGATGGGTTTCTACAGCGTGCACGAGAGAGACGGCTTGAAATAGTAAATGTTATTCTTGGTCAAGATCTTAGATAAAAATGGTGGGTTCATGAAAATTAAATTAGGAGTAAACAAAATGAATATTTATCTATAAGAAAAAAAAATGAAAAAAGCCTAAAAATGAAATGACCAAGCGCAAATGCTCATTTTATTGAAGCAAATGCTCTTCATTAGCCAATCATTATTCATATTAACTCGAGTAGATGCTGATACTCCGACCTGTTACTCTAAGCTCTTGCTTGGAGCGTTTGCTCATACTCATGAGCATTTGCTTTCTTTTTATTCATACGGGCCATTATTATCTGTTAAATGGCAATCATTTTGCTTCTGACATGAAGCAATGGGCTTGTGATGGAAGGTTGTAATTGTGTATCTATCTTTTATTATTATAAAATGTCTATACCTACATATGTGGCGAATTCATCTATCCAAGAAAATCCTATGGGTATTTCGCCACTGGAAGAAAATCTACAAAATAAAATAGCAATTTTTGGTAAACACTGATGCATTAATCCAACGGAGACTAATTGTCAGCAGTGGCTTACTGATGAACAAATTTTTCTAACGGACAAAAAATGCTTAACGTTTCGGAAAGTATATCTTTTTTTCCGTCGTCGGAACCAAAAAAATGCAAAGATCAAAGAAAAAAACTATTTAAAATATCTTAATACAACTATTCGAGAACACTTTAGTTTTTTTTTAAACAGATACGTCTACAACATAGATAAATGCAACAAGTTTAGATTGGAAAGACCGTAAAAATTTTGGGTCGCGAAATTATTTTGGGTCGCGACCGTTATACGCGATCTGGCGCTGCTATAGCGGTCGCTAAGAACAACGGCAAACAAAAACAGAAATAATTTTCTCTTGTCAAAGTCAGAATCTTCAAAAATCGTAATAATCTTTCAAAACCTAAACCGCTCTCATTAAAGAAATTCCGAAAAGTGTTTATATAGCGTCCATTTTCAAAGTAATTATTGCTATCTTGTGAGTTTAATTCAAGTTTTATTTACTCCAACCGGTGATAATTGTGAAAAAGTGGCATTAAAAACTTAAAAAGCTGTGCTGTGAACTGTGAACTGCAAAAACCATCGTGGATCGTGGCATAACATCGATTTCCAATGTTTCATAGGTATTTCATACATGCGTCCTTATATAAAATAAAGTTTCTTGTATGCAACACACTGTATTTTATTTATAAAATTTAACGAAAATAATAATAAATTTGAATAAACAATATTTGGCGATATAATTCCGGAAAAAGCCGAACCGCTCCGAAATTTTCAAAAGTTTTGGGTCGCGACCGTTGCAAGAATAGCGCCAAATAGTGTTTACATTGTCCTTATGGGCACTTTCCAATCTAAACTTGTTTCATTTATCTATGGTCTACAAAAACCATTGACGTTCTGTTAAAATGACATTATATCAAGTTAAACTTCAAAATTAACAATTACTACCTGATAACAATTACTTAATAAGGTAAAACCAAAAAGCTTTAAAACTTTCTGTATGATAATTTTTAATTTGTTTTAAATTTTACGTGTGTTATGTTTATTCATGTGTTCTTTAAAATCAAAGAAGCGATTGCCATAGATTACTAACATCTACAGATGCATGAGCAATACATTAATTTTTATTAGATTGTATTAAAAAAGCCTCTTATATTTTTCTTTTAGAGGCTATCGCTTCTTTCATTATAATTTTTGCATTGTTAAAATCTATTTTGTGCCCTGTGTCCCATGCATGCTGCCAAATCTTAGTAGTTAATTAATTGCTAAGATTATTACTTAATCTATTAATCTTTTTATTAGTATGTAAAGTTTCTAATGCTTTGCCTCCTGCGATAGAAAAAAAATTGGCGCCGCAATGTGGTCAATTTTGTCAAATTAGCCGGAAAAAATATTAGTGAAAATTACTTAACTTTGATTACTAGCTATATCCGATTTGATATGTTAGGTATCATAAAATTACATTAAAAATATAATTAATAAGAACAAGTCGTATACAGGGTGTATAATAATTAAAAACTTGGAAAAGTTTCGTTATTTTTTATTTTAAATAGATTTTGGTCGCGATCATTTGCATATGTTAGATATTTACAAATTATCATATTATAAGAATAATACTATGGATCTTACAGATTTTGCTAACAGTTGCTTTTAAAAAGTCAACAACCTCCAGGCATTTAATATGGGCAATACATCCTAAAAATTGCCTCGACTTAATAGACGGACTAGGACGGTAAATTTGTAGGTTTGGTAAAGTTGTCTAATGGTTTAACTATCAACTTAACTTTATTTAAAACTGAAACCTCATAAGACTTTTTTCTGCTAGTTCATTAAAAAAATGTATATTCTAATAATTTAAAAAAAAATCTAACCATATCAAAATTATTTACTCATATTTAATACTCAACAGAAGAACATTAATGTCAAAAAACTTACCAACAACAATTGCTCTTTCCATTTTAGATAGTATTAATGACATATAACTTTTTGCACGGAATACGCAAATTAAAAATTTTATTCATGTGCAAATAACAACATTATTTAGTTTAATTTGTCAACTATACTACACTTTCAATCAAAATAACAGTAAGTTCGCAACGACCTTTGACATATTTGTTAATGAAATGTTTTTAGCAACTATTTCAAAGCCTACTTATGGAGTTTTTGAAGCCGCTTAACCTCATCAGATTTTTTAATATTTTCCTGTTAATTTTTAAAAACTGACCACAGTGCGCCGGGAGGTACGTATAGCCGCCCATACTAAAATATGTTAATATCTCGAAAACTGCGACTTTGACTGATTTTGATGTTATTACAAATTTTGTTGCAAATATTATTCCTAATCTTAATTTGAAAACCGCGTTTCGCTAGCTACTGTAATTTTGGAGTTACGATTTTTTTAAATTTTTAACCCCCTCCTATACCCCCTTACCAACCCCCCACCCCCACCAAAAACTAATGGCCAGATTTTCGGGTGCCACAGTATTTTTGTGCCAAATTTGGTTAAAATCGGTTCAGCGGTTTTTGAGTTATCGTGTTACAGACGGCAGACGGACAGACAGACAGACACCATGAAAATATTTTGTATTTAGGTCTTTGTGTGTAAATAACTCATTTTGAGTGAAATTAAAAAACATTTTTTTTGCCGATCTTAATAGCCTACCATACCTATTGGTATGGTCGGCTAATAACTTTCTTATTACATTTTTAGATTTCCTTTTCACTGGGGAAATACTCAGGCTTTTTTCAAGAAATGAAGATAATATTTAAGATGGGTTTATTATACGTTTATTAACCTCAAGGTATATGCAATGGCAAACCACCTTGAGTATATTTGCCTAGTACAGCGTACAGCCTCTTCGGATTCAATAAAAAATACAATATAATGCGAACTTTACTTTAACTGTAGTTATTACATACCTGACCATTTACATAATCATTATCTTTTGTTGCAGGACTTTATATGTCAAACCTAGCCCAAGATGGTTATCGTGACACGGGTAAGTCAAACACACATATTTTACTATTATTATTAGCTATAAATTAATATGTTAATTATTTACTTACGATACTATATTAATAATTAAATAAAAAAAATACTGTATTATCGAATTTTAAATAATGACGATCAATGACATTTACCATCCACTATACAGGGTGGTCCGAACTGTATTCCGCTGATCTTCGGCAGCATATTCTGCAGATAAAAATAAGTATAAAACTTCGTATAATTGTATGTTCTAAAATGCTTAATTTTGGATATACAGGGTGTAGAAGTTTCATATTTTTATTTCGATTTTTTCCAGATAATTAGTAACGTTAATATTTGAATGAATGGTGCCTGGGAGTTTTTTGCTTGAGAAATTTGATTTTGATATTAATATGACTCCTATTTGTAGGGGGCGCTATCTACATGTGTTTTAACTGTTATGAAAAGTAATATCTTTTCGTCCGTATCTGTATAAAACTACTGAGTGAAAAACTATTTTGTCTGGTTCCGGTTTTGTTCTTCTTAAAATAGTCTGAGTCTTGAAAACAACTTTTATGTGATACCTACTGTTTGGCTATTCGTCTGATCTTTTTTTAATGTCTGATCTTTTAAAATAAATAAAGGCAATGGAAGCCCGAATTTCTTTTAGTATCTGGTATATTAGTAACTAGATTATATTTTTATAATTTATCTAGTTATACCGGGTGCGTCTCAAAAGAGGCTCACCCCGCTCACTCCTATAACTTTTTTATTTTTTCAGATAAATAATCGAGACTTGGTATGTTAGAATACGACATAAATTAGGATTGATTGAAGTATTCAATTGTTTTCGGTCACATCCTGTTTCACCGGAAATGACCACAATTTTTGATTTTTGAATGACACCCTCGGTATTTTGTTACTTTATTCGACACTCTGAACAGAACGACATATCATATGTCAACTTTTGACATTTTCGAATATGGTTTATTTGAAATTGTAACATGCGATTCATAACGACAATTTGACTCGAAATACCAAGTGTGTGGTACTAAATTATTCCTAAAAAAGATGCTTTTTCCAAATAATATGTTAATGAGCCACTTTCGTTCCATTTGAAAAAATTGAATTATGATTCAAAATACGTTTTGAGCATTTTCTAACTAGCCAGGAGAAGACACTAAAAACATTAGACGCTCAAATCTATTTTTCCAAGGCTCCTTGATTAAAAATTCGTGTTTCTAACACAGCCATGGCACTCTAGATTGAAATAACTTTAAAATGCTATTTTGTCTTAAGCGAAAATGTCAAAAGTTGACATATGATATGTCAATCTATAATATTAATATCCATAATTAATATATAATATATTATAATTCTATCGGATAAGCTAAAAAAATATCGAGGGTGCCATTTAAAAATGAAAAGTTCTAGCCATTTCCGGGGAAACACGAAGTGGCCGAAAAGAATTGAATACGTCTATCAATCCTAGTTTATATCATATACTAACATACCAAATCTAGTTTTTTTATCTAAAAAAATAAGAAAGTTATAGGGGTGAACCACTTTTGAGACGCACCCGGTATACCTGACATTTTTGGGACAATTATCATACTCTGAATCACATACCTTTATAAATCTGTTACCAGAAACTATTATTTAGCTGTCACTTACAGGGAAAGTTTAATTATATTTTTATATATCTAATAGAAATTTGTAGAGCTAAATACAATCATAATTGTACAAAAAAAACTACTTCACTGACGAATTGATACTTGCCATTCATCTCAATTGACTTACAAAATAGCAAACACACTCATATATCAATAGTATATATTGCATAGTACCCCATAACTTATATATTTTACCGTCGACGATAAATTTCAAACACCCGTTAGATTTTATCTTCTGTCAATTCGAGCTGTTGGTGCAGAAAAGAACTTACACGTCGCTTACGACAATTTACTAGTCGCGTTCCTTTCCTTATCGCGTGTACGTAATACGTGTAATTTATTCATATACACACACTCGGGACAGCGGTACTAACGCATATCATATTTACACAACGCTGACAATGGATTGTTATTAAAAGGCTTTATGTTAAGGCACATAAAAGTCGCTGCTCGCAGATGTCTTATGGGGATTAGAATGGTAATGATGTAACGATAAAGCACGAATATAATTTGTCTTTAGAATCAGTCGGTTGTTCGTTTGTAACTGTACTGTCTGGCAGAGTAAAAATAGAGAGTGCTCATTTCAATTTTAGACAGTGAACGACTGGCAATACGGTAATCGCAAAATAATTAAAACATTCACTGATAAGAAAATTTAAAATTATACTTCTTTAGTGTCGTAATTATACGACTAAGTTCATTTCAGATTATGTATTTTTACTACATTAGTGTGTATTTTTACATTAAATGGACATGTATTTTTTTACTCTGTCAGATTTAATGTGTATTTACCATGTATTATTACACTATAGATATATCAAAATGAACAGGAACTAGGAATTGGTAAATTGTATCTAAAAGATGTTTATAAAAGAAACTCATTCGATTATTTAAATATCTTTTAACTTTCAGTGTTATTGTTCTATAAAAAGATCCACAACTCAAAAATAATCAAAAATAGATTACTTAAAAAAATATTCAGTCAAATAACTATTTAAAAAAAATTAAAACAGAATTAGTTCAAGATTTTATGTCCTACAATGTAATCTGTGAATGAATGCTATATTTCATAAATATTAGAAACTTACCTTCTGAGATACATTTTGCTTTTACGAGTTTTTCGAAATTCAGATGAACTTTTACATTAAGCTTTTGAATCATATTTAGGGTTACTACAGCTTCCTAGAGAATAACTGGAGGCCTAAACACGGCAATACCTTTCAGTAAAAAATGAATCCCTATGTATCTTCTTTTTCTAAAACTACTACTACTCTTTCCTACTTGCTTTAAATAGGAAACAGGAACATTTTAAATTTAGTGAGACACTTAAAATTATGTCCCTGTACAGGGTGGGTCAAATTCGATGCTTTTAAATGGAAACACCCTTTTCTATAGGAGATAGACGAAAACTAATATCGGTGTCTGGAGCTCAATTTTTATCAAAAACATGATGGTGATCTGTTACCATTTCGGAGTTACGGGGTGTTTTTCAAAAATGTGCATTTTTAACAAATGGCTGTAACTTTTTTGCTATGGAAAATTTTGTATTTCTATGAAAACATTTCCAAAGCACCTTTTTACGTAGAATTTAATGGTTTGAAAGTTATTAACAGAAAAATTGATTTTTTATTTGGGACACCCTCTATATTTTTAATTAACTGAAAAGAATTTAAAATTACCTTTCCAAAAATATAGCACATTTGATATTTTGTTATAATCCCCTTCGAAATACAGAATTTTTAAAAGTTCGCCTCTTTTAACTAGTAGGCTTTGGACCCCTTATTAATGATATGCCCTTAATGGAACTCGAAAACATATTTTTCCAGCAAGACGACGCACCGCCTCTGAACGCTGAAGTTATCAGCCAATTTCAAGAATAATTGAATAGCTAACCAAGATCCCAGCCGTTTGCCGTCGAGGCCGCCTGACTTAGTGCCCATGGATCTAATCCTATGGATAATATATTATATATTATATAAGATTATATTAGATAATATAATATATAAGATATTATTTGCGGAAGAATAAAGGTTCTTTATTCTTCCGTATAATCTAGACAAGAATTAGAAATACTTAGCAGTTATGAGAGTGTATCTTTCACCCCCAATGAGTTAATGAACTCCGCGAGAAATGTTCAAAAACTGCCCCGTCTGTCCATAACAGAAGACGGTCGATATGTCGAACACCTGTAGCAAAATCTCATGTCTTGGTTTGCTATTTATTTTTATTGTTATTAGATATAGTTTAAATGTGTTGATGTTGGTTAAATATATTTTAAATTGTTATAAAATTCTGCATCTCTCATAGCAAATATTATTTTCGTTTTAATTGATGCTCACAGCTAGATTTTTTTTGCATTACAGCGGGTGCCGTTCAAAGCCTACTTATTTAAAGCCGGCGAATTTTTATATACTCTATAATATCTCGAAGAGGAATCGAGCAAAATATCAAGTGTGTTATATTTTTGGAAAGGTAATTTTAAATTCTTTTCAATAAATTAAAAATATACAGGGTATCCCATATAAAAAATCAAATTTTCTGTTGATAATTCTTAAATTACTAATTGTAAAAAAATTATACTATACCATTAAATTCTTCGTAAAAAGGTGCTTTGGAAATGTTTTCATAAAAATACAACATTTTCAATAGCAAAAAAGTTACAGCGATTTGTTAAAAATGCATATCTTTGAAAAACACCCTGTAACTCCGAAACTGTAACAGATATCGATACGCGGATTTCACCATCATGTTTTTGACAAAAATTGAGCTCCAGACACCGATATTAGTTTTTGTCTATCTCCTATAGAAAAGGGTGTTTCCATTTAAAAGCGTCGAATTTGACCCACCCTGTACATCATCTCTTATATGTATTTACCCGTTACTTCCTTTTGAAAAAAGTGAAAACAGAAGCAATTAAAATTAATTTATAGCGACAGTAGACGGAGAGTAACATCTGAGAACTTTTTCCTCCAATATACTTGAACTAATTTTCGATATAATAAGCTACTAAAACCCATACAGTATAATTTAAGTAATTAAACAATCATAATCTATTCAATTCAGAATTAATAATTATATGTATTTGTGTGGAAAACAAATAAATAATTGTTACAAACTAATTAAACGTTTGTACATCTTTAATATAATTTCTAGGTAATAAAAAAACAATAAACAATTAAGCCACTGACATAAAATATAGCAAGTTTACATAATAACGAATAGGGGCAACTGAATAATGAGATGTAAACATTTCCTGTGTGTTATGATTTAGTTACGCAAAACTCTTTTACATTAATAACATTGGAAACCTTCTGAAGTCCTTGATCTATTTTATAATTTGGATCTTCAAGAAGAATAA